ATATGGAATCACAAAAAACCCCGAACAGCCAAAGCTCTCCTGAAAAAAAAAGAAGGGAATGGACGCATCACATTCCCAGACTTCAAACTCTACTACAAAGCCATAATCATCAAAACTGCATGGTATTGGAACAAGAACAGACATACAGACCAATGGAATCGAATAGAAAATCCAGAAATAAACCCACAGATTTATGGTCAACTAGTATTTGACAAAGGAGCAAAGACTATGCATTGGAGCAAAGAAAGTTTGTTCAATAAATGGTGCTGGGAAAACTGGGTTGCTACATGCAAAAGAATGAAGCTTGACCACTACCTCACACCATACACAAAAATCAACTCAAAATGGATTAAAGAACTAGACATAAGACCTGAAATCATAAAATACATAGAAGGAAATATAGGCGAAACACTATGTGATTTGCACCTCAAAGACATCTTTACAGACACATCACCCAAAGCAGTGATAGTGAAGGCAAAGATAAACAGCTGGGACTACATCAAATTAAAGAGCTTCTGCACAGCAAAAGAGACAATAACAAAAACAAAGAGAAACTCCACCAACTGGGAGAACATTTTTGCACACAACACTAATGATAAAGGACTGATCACAAAAATCTGCAAAGAGCTGATGAGACTCAACAAAAAACAAAGAAAATAATCCAGTCAAAAAATGGGCAGAAGAGCTAAAAAGAAACTTCTCTGAAGAGGAAATGCAAATGGCCAACAGGCATATGAAAAAATGTTCAACATCACTTGCAATCAGGGAAATGCAAATCAAAACTACCATGAGATACCATCTTACACCAGTGAGAATGGCACATATTAAAAAAACTAGCAACAACAAATGTTGGCGAGGGTGTGGAGAAAAAGGAACTCTTCTGCACTGTTGGTGGGAGTGCAAACTGGTCCAACCACTATGGAGAGCTGTGTGGAGATTTCTGGACCTACTAAACATAGAGCTTCTATATGATCCAGCAATTCCACTCCTAGGTATTTACCCAAAGGACACAGAAACATCAATTCCAAAGAGCACCTGCACCCCTATGTTTATAGCAGCACTATTTACAATAGCTAAGCTTTGGAAACAGCCCAAATGCCCAAAAATAGATGACTGGATCAAGAAGATGTGGTACATATATACCATGGAATATTACTCAGCATTCAAAAAAGATAAACACATGCAATTTGCAGCAACATGGATGGCGCTGGAAGGGATCATGCTCAGCAAAATAAGCCAAAAAGAAAAAGAAAAATACCGGATGGTCTCACTCATAGCAGGAATCTAGAAAACTTAAATAAGGGACCAGGAAAATGAATAACTACAAAAAAGTGAAAATCAAAATCAACAAAAAACTATGAACCAGAGACACTTTTTGGGGGTGGGGGCAGGAGGGGAGGGATTGGGGTCAGAATGGGGGGGTTGCAATTGTATGGGGAATATAAAAATAAATTTTATTATTTAAAAATAAATAAATAAATCTTAAAAAAAATAAAAAATAAAGCAACTGTCCATTATTAGATGAATGATTGAATAAATTATAGAATAATGAATTCAGTTATCATAAAAATGAATTAGAGGTAATTTATCATCTTAGAGATATTTACATGAAGTATTCTTGAATGAGAAAAAACATTATATAGAAAAATATATGTGATAAATATGAGCTTATGTTGCGATGTTGGGTGTGGTATGGTAACACGCATCTGAAGAGGTGTGAATATATTGTCCTAAACCACTAATGTTGGAAATCAATGTTACCTTAATAAAAAAAGGAAGTTATAGAAAAAGTAAAGTAGCAAGTCAGATAAGAAAATTTTGAATTGACTATAGTTCATTCATTTAATCATTCAATAAATATTTCATTGAGCACTGGCTATACAACAGCAAAGAGAAAAGGATTACTCTCTCTGCTCTGCTGAAGCTGAACTTTTTTATGATACTCCTGCTACTACAAAGAAAGCAACAAAACTAAATGAGGAAGAAGTACCTGTCTAAAGAGAACTAGTCTAGGAGTTGCATGATCTGAATCCAAATCACCTGTCTACCAATTACTAAGGCAAGTAATATTGACTATACCAATGAAATTTCTCTAAGCCCCAATTTCACAGCTTGAAAAAAGATGTATATTACCTGTCCAGCATACCTCCTCAGTTCATTATAAGCACCACAGAAAAAAATAAACATATACTGAAGATTATCAAAAGCTCTACAGCCACAAGCTAGTGATTATTGAAACAAAAAAAACTATCAAATTCCTTTCAATAAATAATTTTAGTTATTTATTTAGGTCCACTGTAGGTCTATGTAGTCATAGACCTTCACATACATACATAGACATTCACATACATAGACACTCACACACAAAAACCCACATGGTATTTTTCCTATACAGGGAACACCCCAGTTCTTCCCTACTATGTGTTTCTTCCCTGTGTGTCTCCTTTAATTTCACACAGAACATTTTACTTCTGACACTTCTCATCACCAAACTAATGGAGCATTGTCTCCACACAAAACAAATCTGTGTAACATCAGCTGGGTGTCTTCAGTCCTACAATTCAACTCATTTCTGACACTATTGACCTGGAGATGTTAGGGGCTAAGTCTTACAAGATTGTATACACACACACACACACACACACACACACACACACTCCAGTGCCAGTCACAAGCCTGGGTTGTTACCTATGCTTCTTGACCAACCAGCTACAGATCAGAAGTCCCCACAACCCCCTTCTTGAGTTCAAAGAATTTGCTAGAATGTTTCACAAAACTCAGCATTTTACTTACTAGATTATCAGTTTATTATAAGAGGATTTAACTTCGGAACAGCCAGAAGCAAGAGATGCATAGCGCGAGCAAGATGGATAGGGCAAAGGCATGGAGCTCCTGTGCCCTCTCCCAACACCTCCACATGTTCACCCACTCAAAAGCTCTCCAAACTCTATCCTTTTGTGTTTCTATGGAGTTTCATTCCATAAGCACAATTTATTAAACATGTGCCACTAGCAACTAATTCAACCTCCAGTCCTTCTCCCTCCCCTGGAGATCTAAAAGTGGGATTACAAATTCTAATTCTCTAATCATATGGTTTGTCCCAGCCGGCATTCCTCATCCTTAGATATACTGCCAAAGTCATCTCCTTAACCTAAAGAAAAGACACCTTTATGATTGTAATCACTGAAGAATTTCCAGTTTTAGAAGTTGTGTGTTAGAATGGGAAGACCAAATATACATTTCTTATTATAAACTACAATATCACCCACCGACACTAAAGCACAATGCTAACTGTCAAGTATATTAACCACACAGAATGAGACATATTCAAAGGTTTTGACCTTTCTCCATTTAATCATTGTAATTTTACCTGGATTTCCTTTACATGTCAAATTATGTTCATGTTCTCAAGCGATGTTACAGACATAGGAAGAGAAATGAGGCAAACAGACTTCATTCAAAAGTCTACACTGAGCAGCAAGCACCATATGTTTCTTCACTCTTTGGGATATATTTTGTTACTGCTATTTGAATCTTAACAGATAATGAAATTTTGAAAATAGAGACAAATTCATAGTTTAAGAAAATAACGATTGCTGTAATTGCAATCACATCAACTGATCTGAGTTTATGCTCAAATTATGTTTGCATTTGTAATGATAAACTCTGTATTTAAGAATAATGAAGTACTTAGGACATCATCAAAATATTAAAAACTTCAAAATTACACTCATGAGGAAAATTAGTTTTATCTAGCATATTTGGGGTTTGCAGTATTATAATCTGGCAAAGAACACAAATCTGTGTGAATCACTGACAAACACCAAGTATAAGAAACAGTTGTTATCTATAGTTGCTCTGTGAGACAATGGAGTCCAAACACCATCTCTTTGGGGCTAAAGAAACGCAATAATCCTGCTTTTCTTCAGACATTGGCAAACGTATAGTGTAATAGCTAAGAGTCAGTTTAATCCTTCCCTTCCTGATTCAGAATGAAAATAAACATTCTGTCCTAAACATAAGGTGTTATTTCCTTTTGTGGGTTTTCATGAAAGAGAAAGGAACAAACAAGAAAATGATCATGGATGGATGGATTTTGTATAATTTTCAATCATATCTCCTTATTTTAAGAAGAAGAAAATTAGAATCAAGAAAATGCTGGGAAAGTTCTTACAGGGACTGGGCTCTGATTGTTTTCATCAGCATTGATTGGATCAGAGCTGAAGCTCTTTGACATTTTCCATACAAATTCACTCCCTCTAGCATTTTGGAAGTTTAATAACTTGACCAAAATATCTGAGGGATAGAGTTACATTCCAGAGCATATCATAGCATCGGCACTCTTTCTCGCTCTCTCTCCCTCTTTCTGGAATAACTGACAAATTTCTCCATTTGTCCTTGAATTTCACACATGTCACTTTCCTCAAAGTGTGTGTTATTTGTCAGTCACCAGCATATAAAATTAACTGCACAGCCAATAAACAAGAGAGAATAAGGAATAAGGAAAAGGAACACACAGACACCTCACAAGAAAAGGGGACACCTCTCTTTAGAGTTTTCATTAAATCACTTGACATTCTGCTCTGGAATTGGGACCACCCCCTCTGGCACCAAAAACAAAATGAGTAACTTAGCTTACTTCTTAATCATCTCAAAATAAGTAACTCAAAGTTTCAAAACAGAAGCAAAAATTTTCAGAAGTGAACCACTAGAAAGCCAATACCATTGTATTGGGGCAGGCAGCATGAATTTTTGCATCAGAAATGATTGGATAGTGTTGATTTATTCTCCCTCCTCACATCCCTGTCTGAACAGCTATACTTCTGGCATTTCATATTTAGGAACAGGGCTCTCTGCTAGATTTGTCTGATAACTGAGTAGAGCCTTGCCTGGTGAACCAGTAAATGAGGGTGAATCACACATAGGCTGCTCCATACATGAGTCTACCCCTGAGTCCACACAGATGGGCATGCACTCGCATAGGGCATCTCCAGACTTACTTGTGTTCCCCGGATTCAGGCCTCCTCCAGGAGAAGTAGCCGTGGTCCAGGCTGGAATGTGTAGGCTGGGGTGTGCAGTGGAAGGCACAGCGCTCTGGTTATAATCTACATTTGGAAGAATAACATCAGACACTTGGACTTCACCATCAGTGACTAAAGGTTCACTCCCATTTGATTTAAAATAGGCCTTCCTTAATGTTCCTGAAAGATCAAAACAAAACAAAAAAAAAATCTTTTACAACATTACTAGAGGTATTTAATTAAATATATATATCATTTTTATTGAAGTAACATTGGCTTAAAACATTATCTAGGTTTCAGGTCTGCAGCATTATAATGTGTATCACCTGCTTGAAAATCACCATCAATAATCTGGTCTCCATTTATTGCTATACAATTCATCACCTTTACCCAAAATGTACCTACCACCTACTTAAAAGATATGTTAAGAAAACTCTAGAGTTACTTCCATAAGGCTTATTCTATCCAAGCAAACACAAAGAGAAAGACGACAGCTTACCCAAATACCCACCCCACTGAGAAAATCGGTAAGCTTCTCTTCCACCACAAAGCTCATACTCCTGTGGAGAACTATAGCTTTCTAAGAAGCACAGGGTTGAGACACCGGGTCTCCCATCTTGGTTCCTGGTGCCCATGGAATTTAAGGCAACTCCACCTCACCTTGGATGCACTATAAGTTAATTAAATGTGGTGACTCTTAACATGAGTCCTTCCTGATTTCTGTTTCTCAATTTCACTCATCACTTTACATGACTCAGTATCCAGGAAACATGCTCTCCAAGCCTTGAAATCTGCCACCCAAAAACACAATTAGGGCCTCCCCGGTGGCGCAGCGGTTGAGCGCTGGGTTGCGAAGCTGCCCGCAGCCTCTGCAGCGCCGGTTCGATCCCCGGCTGCTCCCCGGCCACCGGAGGAGGGTCCCACATGGCGCGCAGACCTCTCCTGCCGCCCGCTGCTCCCCTCAGCAGTGTCCTTCGGTCCTTCTGCCTGCTCTGCTCCCCGCTCTGGCTCTGGTGAATTCTCTCACCCTCCTGCGCTTCTGACTGTACCCAGTGCTTGTATAAATAAATAAATAAATCTTTAAAAAAAAAAAAAAAAAAAAAAAAAACCACAATTAACCTGCTTATCTTCTACCTTGATTTCTCCACACTTTGCACTAAATTTCAGGAAACTACACATTACAAAGAAGTAAAAATAACAGGGCACATATATTTACCAAGACATATCAAAGAGGGGAAAAAAGAAAGAAAGAAACTCTAATTCCAGTTAAACTGAAAGAAAAAACTAAATTAGCTTTCTCTTTGACCAGAAGTTATAAAATATAAGAGATAAGAAATAGTCATTCAACTAGGATTATCTGGTCCCCTTCTCAAGGTATTCATGCATCAACAAAAGAAAGATTCAAACCTAAGGCTGTTGGGAATCACCTAGCTCGGGTTTTAGGCAGAAACTTGAAAAGTCTGAAAGAAATAATGTATTTTTAACTCAGACAAAACAACCAACAGACTGTTTCCAGAAAATAGCACTGTAGTTGAGTATGTCACTAAAATAACTGAATGTGGTATTGATCCATTATAAAATACCCCAGGGAGATTATTTTTCTAAAAACATTTACAGTGACTTCCCTAATTGGTTCTCGTTTTCCCAAATAGTCTATGGGCCATTAAAAGTAAAAGAAATATAAATAAAATGTTTAGTATCAGTCTATGGAAAAAATTTCTGTACATGTGTTAGACACTTGGAAAACATTAACTAGAAATGAAAATAGAAAAGCAGCTGTTTTCAAGCTAACTAAGGTCAACAGTTTCATCTGCCAAAGGGTTCTAAATAAAACATTTAGTGTAAAAGCTAAATCATGACCATGTGGTACAGGTAACACACATTTCAAATTGTATGATTCTGAGTAAATATCAAATGCAGTGTTGAAATGATATGAAGACTTTCATTGAATTTTGATTTTCAAAATGACTCAGAATGTGTCCCAGATAAAAATTAATGTAAGTGATAGACCTGATTAGTATAGATTTATTTCATTTTTACAAAAAGAAAATTTTATTAATAAACTAAATATATATTTTTATCCATTTGCAAGTTGCCCTCTTTACTTATTTTTTACATAACTGTCATTTTCACTGATGTGGCTGGAACAAACATATAAGACCCTTGGAGTTAATTTACTTCACATCCTAACCCTATGAGTCAGCATCCAGTTCTGTCAACATATTTTTAGCAAATGCCAATTCTCAGTTATATCCCTGAGTAATTCACTTAAAAGGGGATCTATGTGTGTATGAAATTTTTTCAGCCTTCTTAAAATTGTATTTGTAATGATTAGCCTTATTAATAATCTCTCCTTTACCATTTTCCTCTAACCACGTGGTGAAAACATTAAACATCTGTTTGCTCTATCAAGTCCTTTGACTTAGTGATTTGCTTAGGAAATACTGACAATAATACTGTTGTGACAGGAACTTTGTTGCCACTTTGCAGTGGGAACAGGATGAGGGACACAGCAGTCATGCAGCAGGTTTGACTCCAAAACAGGACTCTGCTACTTGAGCAGAAGTTCTTGTGCCATTTATTGAAATCATACAGGATAGTAAAGCTGATCATGCGACAGTGGTATGAGGTACAGAGGGTGGAACAGGAATGGGGGACAGAGATTTACAAGGGACAGGGAAAGGGACATCATGACCATGTGTCAAGAGACATTTGCGTCAGCGAAGTATTTTATCACAGTTTTCCCAAGAACACCATGGAGATAGTCACGTAATCAGGTTAACAACGGCCTAGGTGTCCCCAGGGTCTGCCTTATGATATGAGCTATACTCCCTAGGTAGTCAAGGAATGCTTTGCTGTGATTTGCAGATAGCAAATAGGTCACAGTTACCCATGAGTGGCCAGCTCATAGGAACCCACAGAATACAACTTTCTAAAAAAAAAATATGGCAGTTTTTTTTTTTTTTAATTCTATTTACCAAAGCAAGCTGGTAGAAAAGAAAGATAATACATGATACATGAGAGTTGTCATAGCTAATATCCCTATGGTATATTTGAGAGAGGTAGAGAAACTTACAGGTCTTGCTTATCTTTAAAAACTGAACCCACTAGGCAATTTATCTTCAAGTATCACTGGAAAGTGACCAGCTCTTGATTCACATTTGTTCATCTATTAATTAACCATTTTCTAAAAGCACAAAAGTTAGAATGTGTTAAGAGTAAATATTCTCAAGCTGCACAATGTTGAGTTATAAAATGCTGACAGTTATTAGCCCAAAGTAGAGTGTTCATTCTTCCAGTGCTGCCCTATCCTCTCCCACATTCCTGTTTTTATATGCTTTGGTTAAAAGTATAGGTTCTACACTCTGAAACCACCTGGGTTAAATCCCCTCTAGCACTTACTAGCCCTAAAAAGTTGGGCAAATACTCAACTGCCATAAAATAATGAAAATAAAAGTACCTTCCTCATGGCTGTTAGCATCAAATTAGTCAATACATATGAAAACACTTGGAACAGTTCCTGACACAGAAAATTCCCAATAACTGCCACTTACTGCTACACAATTGATAGTAAAATTATCTTCCTTAGAGCAGCTAAGGTATTCTAAAATAAATACCAATTTCCTTTTACTGTAAGTACATCCCAGTATAACACAATGGTCAAAGAAATTTTCAAAAGCCAATCACTTAACCCACTTTTGGAGTGGAAGAATTATGGCTTATTCATGTAAAATTATTGATATTAATTAACAGAATTATTATTAACAGTTATTTAACAATATTTCAGAAATCTATAATCCCAATAATAATAGCCAAGCTTTATACTTATGTTGAATGGATTGGGCACCATGATATGCAAAATAATATCTCCCAGCATTGTCCACAGCCTAAGTCCCAGAACCTGTGAATATGCTATATTATGTACCTCTCATTCAAAAGGGTATTGCAAATATAGATAGGGAAATTACCCTGGATTATTCAGGTAGGCCCAATGTAATCTCCAGATCTTTATAAGCAGAAGAGGGAGGTGTGAGAATATGTGTCAGAAGTGTAAGAAAGACTCCCTGAGCCAATGCTCATTTTGAAGATGGAAAGAGGCCAAGGAATGCAGGAAGCCCCTAAAAGTTGGAAAAGACAGGGAAATACTGCCCCCAGAGCCTCCAGCAGGAATACAATGCTGCCAACATCTTAATTTTAGCCCAGTAAGATTTGTTTTGGACTTATTGCCTTCATATTCTAAGATAATTTTCGTGTTTTAAACTACCAAGTTTGTGATAATTTGTTGCTGCAGCAATAAGAAACTATTACAAAGCACCTTGCTAAGTTATCCTCACAACAGGCATCTACTGAGTTGGTCTTTCAATATGGCTATGAAACAAATGCTCTAATTCTTTTTCTAAGGAGATTCAGAGAGAAGAAAGCTGAAGTTTATGAAGGTTATTTCACTTACCCAAGAACTGAATCAGGACGTGACATAAATATATATACACACACATATTTGCACATACTTTTCTCTCTGTATAAGACATACTAGTTAAAAAAGCTCAATCATCATGTGCATGTAAAAAAAAAATTATCTTCCTATGATGTGAGTTGAAAATTAATTCCTTGATCTCAGTCTAGCTATATTAGTAGCACATTTACTTTGCATTTTCTATGTGCGAGGAATCTGTGTTTACTCTCTGCTGAGAACACAAAATTTAATAAGAGATTCTTATCAGCAGGTGTTTATAGATTAACTGGTGGATGCAGGCGAGCAGTCTAAAATATACCAGCCATGCTGGCAGTTCTTTGAGGAAGATATGCATAGGACAATCTGGTGACAAAAAGTAGAGAAGCAGCTGTCATTCCATTTGAAAGTCAGGAAAGATTTTTAGGGGAGAGTAATCCTCGATGGGAATCTTAAAACGTGATTAAGACTTTTCTAGGTTTGAGGAAAGCATTTGTGGGGAAAGGCAAGTGTAGTAATAGAGGATGGAGTACTTTCTAGATAGAACAAAATGATATTTAAAAGTCTAGTAATCAAACATAGCTAGGGCACACAGGATCACCAAGAGAAAATGCTAGAGAGGAAGTAGAAGCTAGACTGTAAACGGGAGGTCCTTTTAACTATTTGGAATAGATCTTGTGATGGAAAACCCTTCAAGGATCTTAAATAGGGTGAAATATTACTAGAATGATCTCTCTGGCAGCAGGTGATGCTTGAAAGGGTCAATTCTAGAAGTTAATTAGAAGGCTATTTGCAATAGCCCAAAGGAGGAAAGTGTAAGGTCTGACCCCAGGCAAAAGCAGTGAGGACAAAGGAACATGTATGCAAGCACTTTCAGAGAAAAAAACTATGAAAACATTAGTGTAAGCGTCAGAGCTCTCTTCCAGGATTCTGGTTCGAATTGCTGGATAAATGAAGGAACCCCAAATGAGATAGGTTTGGTGGAGATTAATGCTGTTCATCAAATATTTTCAACCCTTCCCCATTCCACTAAGATATTAACTTGGGTTACATTCTCTCACCTCATACTCTGTCTCTTGACATCTTTGATGTTGGTCAAAGGGTACAAACTTCTAATTAAAAGATGAATATATTTGGGGGATCTAATTATAGCCTGGTGATTACTGCGGATAACACTATATTGCATACTTGTTTTAAATGAACCTCCAGGACGCTTTGTCTTTCTCTCTGGCACAATAACAAAATGGTTCAAGATGATGACCATCTATTAATTTAGTCCTTAAACAACTTCAATAAACACAGTTGCATCTCCCCATATCATCACTTCTGGCTCACCCCCTACTTATAAATCATGCTAATTTTAATTTTTATTTCATTTTTCTTTAATAATGGCATTACTCACCCACAAAGGAAAACAGGATCACCAGCAGGACAATGAGCGCACAGATACATGGAATCAGGACCAGCAACAGGAAACGGAGAATGGTAGCTGTCGCCAGCTTCTGAGAGCAGCCGCCACTCATGTCACAGTCATCAGCTCCCAAGACCTAAGTCAAAGAGGGAAACGAAATATAGTTTTAATATCATGAAGCAACTCAATACATAAACTTCTTGTATCTTAACAAGTGTGTTTATTTTAAAAACTGTCATGGTGGTTTTTATAATGTGTATGGTCACAATCTCCCTGAGATATTTTCCTCAGTCAGTTTGGTTCCATTGTGAGGTCTCTTATTTTCTTCTTCATTTTTTTTTAATAAATTTCAATTGTGTTTTTTTTGGAAATTTCTTCTTTTTTAAAAAATTTATTTATTTATACAAGCACTGGTGTACAGGCCAGAGGCGCGGGAGGGTGAGAGAATTCACCAGAGCCAGAGCAGGTTGCAGAACAGGCAGACGGACCGAAATACACTGCTGAGGGGAGCAGCGGGCGAGACAGGAGAGGTCTGCGCGCCATGTGGGAATCTGCCTGGCAGCCGGGAATCGAACCAAAGCTGCAAAGGCTGTGGACAGCTTCACAGCACTGTGCTCAACCTGCTGCACTACGGGGAGGCCCTTCTTCTTCATTCTTAACACCATTGCATTTGCCTCCCAGGTGCTGATTTAACTATTTTCATGACAGCCATTTTGGCTCTTTCAGAGCCTATTGTCCCTTTATCTTCTCCAAGTCAATCAACTTTTTCCTTCTTTTATGTCTCTACATATCTGTAGAGGCAGGACAGGACACAGTGCAGGTTTTCTGATCCAGCAGACCGGGTTAAGGAGGAGTCAGAGTCCTCAGTGGCTTTTGCAGGCTTTTATTTAGATTTACCAGGCACATGGCAGGCAGGGGTGCTGGGGGCCAGGAGGCTGGCAGTCCTCACAGCCCTCCCAGCCCCCAGCAAATCCTCACTCTATCTGGGCTCTCTGGCGTTCTCTCTACTTTTCTTCTCTCGGCTTCCGTTCGTTCTTGGCTTCTGCTGGCGTCCCCGTGACGCCGCCCTTATTAACTCAGTCTCTCAGCCCAGGTGTACCCACCCAGGTGCCCGCCATCAGGCATGCATTCAGGACCACAGGGTTCCCTCATCTATCCTAATGGTGGGAGAGCAGAAAAGCCTGACACTTTTTACCTTACCCTACAATATCTTGTTTAGAATCTTTGGAACAATACTTCAGTGATACTGTTGCTAATCTCCTGAAGTCCATACACCTCTGGGTTGTCTTCTCATTCTTCTTGTAAAAGGCAATGCTAGATGAATTCACAATCTTCTCTGCACCGACACCCGAGTATAAGAATAGGGCTGCAGTGTCACCCAATGGGACTACTAAATGTTGGTTTAAGGCCTTCTCAACTCTTCAAACTTCTCATTTCCTCAAACTGCCTCCTCCCACATATCTGCCCTCAGTCTCAGAAGAGGCCCCACCCCAATTCCCATGTTATGGAAAGAATAAAAATCATCAAATGGGAATTGCCTCATGTAGAGGCAGGAAGGGCACGGAGCAGAATCTCTATAACCCTATGCAGATGGATAAAGGACAGTCCTGGAGCCCTCAGTGGCTTTTTCAGGATTTTATTGGGATTTTACCAGGTACACAGCAGGCAGGGGTGCCTGGAGGCCAGGAGGCTGGCAGGCCTCCTACGCCCAGAGAATCTTCACTCTTCTGGGCTCTCCAGCATTCTCTCGTGGTCTCGTTCTCTCTCTTATGCTGGTTCTGTCCCTCTCTCTTGCTTCCTCTGGCTTCCTGGTGACACTGCCCTTATAAGCCAGTCTCAGTCCAGGTGCACCCACCGTAGGCCCACACCCTACTCCAGGTGCCTGCACCAGGCATGCATTCAGCACCGCAAGGATCATCATTAATCTAATTGTGGGAGGGCAGAAAAGCCTGATACTTTTTTACTTACCCTATACCTCACCTACCTCTAAACCTTCACACCTGCTTATGTGTTCATATTTATCCTTCCACAGTAAAGAAGAAGGTATTTGACTCCTATTTAGGGCTGACGTTTCCATCTCCTTTTCCCTTCTCAAGAATCTTACACCTTAATTCTCCCCTTAATTATTCTCTCCTTTTCTCCTTCCTTCCCTCCTTTGGTCCTCTCCTCCCTCATTACTGTGATCATCTTAATTTATATCATGCCTAAGTCTCTCTTTTTCTCTTCATCCTCAAACATGTATTCCACTTCATCCACTGTCCTCTCTCTCTCTCTTTTCTCATCCAAATGCTCTAAGAGTTGTTATATTTATCTCCAAAATTCCTCACTGTTTACTCCTATGGCCATGACAATTTGGCCCATTCCTGTCACTGCACCAAATGACTGCGTGCTGTGACCTTCATGTTGTTACATCCAAATGACAATTTTCTGTCATCATTATAATGGCATCTCTGTATCATTTGAGAGATCAAATTCTCTCTAGCTACTCTCCTCCTCTTCAAGCATTTTCTTTGTCATGTTTTTCTCCTACCTCTCTGATGATTCCTTTACTGGAGGTACTTTGCATTATTTCCCTCCAGGCAATGCCATCACGCAAATAGTTGTAATTGCTAGCCCTGCCCTGAGACGTCCTTCTTTATATAGCAAGCATACATCTTCCTCTGAGCTCCAGAACTTTGTATGCAATTGGCCACTTGACATGTCATTGGATGTTGTAAATATGCTCCAATCCTAATATATCTGAAACCAAATAAATCATCTCCATCCCCATAATTGGTATTGTGCCAGGCCTACTCATCTCAGGTGGTCTGAGGATCACACTTCGAATAGCATACTTAAATGCCCTTCCAGTTCTGTCTTGCCTACACCAGACTCATTGCTTACCACTGTGGTCCATGCCCAATCTCTCACAATACTAAAAACAATTAAAAAGAAAAAAATCTATACTCAACTCTATGTATTATTGGTTTGAGACTAACTTGGCACCTGAGTTCTCTAGGTAGAAAGGTGACGAGTTGCTAGTATGTTTGCAATTCTGCTGTTTCAGTGATTCAGAGAACAGCCTACAAGGATAGTGAAGTCACTTTGACTGGTGTGGCCTGAACAGGACACAGAAGCTCCCTCTAAACCCTTGGGGATATTAGACTGTTTAACACTACATGCTAATATACTCATAGCTCTGAAAAAATACAGACACTAGGAGTCCACTTACTGCTGTATTATCAGCTTGAAACACTAGCCTGCACAACTACCACTCCAAAATGAATTGCTTTTTCAGGTTAGAGATGGACCTTCTCCAATCCACCTTCACTGTCTGTTCACTGAGCAAAAATGAGCCAGTATCCTTATTTAGGAAGCATAGTCTGTGATAGATGCTTTCCTCGCTGTTGTCAGTAAGCTGGGAGAGCATTCCTTATATGAATTAAAAGCAGATTTATTGAATAAGTGATCAGTGATTTAAATGCTTTGCAAATCAGTCATCTGTTAATTCTCCATATTATCATTAGCTTCCACTCTACCAATAAGCCAAATGCCTCCCAAACCATGCATCCTGAATTATGTCAGAGCCAAATGTTTTTTGTTGTGATGTTTGCTTTTAATGCCCCAAAAGGCATGAAAAACAAACATCTGGTCTTCAGTAAGTCTTTTCATCTCATTTTTTTTGGCATTTGATTGAGCATGAAAGTTCAAATAAAATGAAATTACTCCATTCACACCACATGGTCTGCAAACCAACCCAGCCCATATTTTCTTCTTTGAAAATTAACACAACAACAGCACCAGATAGCCTGCCCTCAAATCTCATATTCACACATCCCAGAAAATATATTCAACTTGGAGACTAAATACCAACAAAGTATTTTTCCTGTTGAGATAATAATTATCCAAAACCCAGGCAGCATATGGCCCCAGTGTTGCAGTTCTGAGAGTAGCATTGTTTAGCTCAAGTAGGAAACATGAGATAGAAGACTGGAATGTTTCAGAGGCAACTTGAACAATATTGTCTCTACCACTGAAAATCTAGGTGACCTTATAAAGCCATCACCCTATTTGTAATCATATTTCCATGTCTGCAAATAAGGCATAAAATGTAAGTCTCTTACTCCAACCACAAATATTACAGAAATAAAATAAAATTGGCAAAATGAAATAAAAGTAAAAAAATAATAACAATGTTTCTATCAAGTTCACAAAACTCTAAAAGTCCAGTTTTCTCTGAAATATGTAAGTTGAGTGTGTTCAATTCAGTCTTCCTGCAGGAAAGTTATAATCTTTTCTCAAGTGAGGACTTGTCTTCAGAGGCAACAGCAAAATCTTTTAAAATAAGCTCCATTTTTTCCAGAGGAGGGTGATGGTCATAATTCCGTGACTGTTATGGAAGATGATCTTGGAAAGAAACAGCAGGCAACTTCTCATCCCAACAAGGTAGATAAATAGGACCCTGCATTCTTTTTTGAGATGATTTGCCCCCAATATCGAATATGTCAAGGTTATTTTACGACAGACACAAATCTTAAAAAGTATTTCCTTTTAAGGCAGATACAATAACTGAATTCTTTCTACATATATTAGGGAAGATTAAAAGTTATTTATTTTCCCAGTATATTTCTTTGGAAACAATGGAGGCTACAGGGGAAAAAATCAAAGAGAGCTTCATTCTCCATCCCTCAGGAAATTAAATATTTCACATTTATTCACTAGAATGTTTTAAATTTCACATCCTGGCTACAGATTACTATGTTTTTAAGGGAGCAATGGCAAAATCCAAAGGAACTTAATACAGAGCCAAATGAAGCCAAACTTATTTTTCATGTAACAATAAGGGAGCTGTTGAATTTGTGCAAATCTTAAAGACCTAAATGACTCTATAAGAATAGAAATGTTATGACTTTTAAAAATTGAAACAGATTGGCAAAGTGAGTAGAGAACTAAAATATTGACTCTCTACAGCTGAAAATAATCAGGGAACACACACAAGACAAAATGGATTTTATGCTCTACAACAATCTATTTCAGGCATTTCAATGCAAAGTAAAGCATAAACAGATGTTGAAAACAGTTAACCTACTGAACCCACCTGCTGAAAGGAATCCTGCAGTTAAAAAAAAAAGTACAAGAAAGGATTTTATGTGTTAG